GGGAGGAAAAGGCGACGGAAAGCTGGCCCAATGGGATAAATGAAGGAGGGATAAAGAATTTAATTGAAGCTTACGACAGAGGAAAAAAGCAAAGGGGATTAAGAATCGATAAAGATATATATAGGATAGAGGTGGATCGAGATATCAATAAAGAGGGGCAGATAATGGCTAAAGCAGAGACCCCAATGGCCTAGGCCTTGGGGGTGAAACAACCCTCCCTCCCTTTCCATAGATAAAATTTCGGGTTTGCTTAAGCGAACCCTCGAGGATCGGATGAAAGCTCCATGTGGCCCATTTTTGGTAAGTAGGTGGGCCATTTTGGTAAGTAGGTGGCCCATTTTTGGTAAGTAGGTGGGCCATTTTTGGTAAATAGGTGGGCCATTTTTGGTAAGTAGGTAATGGGGGGAAAAAACAACAGCATAAAATGACAGCTCCAAAACATTAAAAATAATAATAATAAATTACAGCTCCGAAACGGGGATCCCATCCATAGAGAACGTAAGGAGGATTTGAATAAGAATAAGAAATGGATAAGATAAGATAAGAAATGGATAAGATAAGAATAAGAAATGGATAAGGATAGAAAGAATAGGCAGACGGAACGGAGGAGAGGGAAACCGATTAAGATGTACGGAATGAGATTCAGGGAGACGATACTGAGAATGAAAAATAGCGTAACTGAGAATCTGACACTGACAATCGGACTTGTGAAGATTGAACCTGGTCATATTCCTGGTCTGATACAGAATTTAGAAAAAGGATGCCTGCGAGTGCTATTCTCCCTCTACAGAGGTTTGTTTTGTGAGTGTATTTTTTTTCAGTGGCAGCAGGAGAGGAAAAAGAGGAGAACGAGGGGGATTAACGACGAGAGAAATCTTTTTTTTCTTCTTTTTTTTTGGTCAAAAAATTTGAGAAAAGAGCAAAGGATGTGAGAGGCAGAGAGAAAAACAAACATTACGCATAGAATAGAGGAAAACCTCTTTCTTTCTTCTTTCTTCTTTCTGTTTAATTTATAACCAAAAACCATCCGAATAAAAAAAAAAAAAAGAGAGAGAGAGAGAGAGAGAGAGCAGGTTCGCGGAGTGTGGACAGCGGGCCCAGACAACAAGGTAGAGAGAGAGACACACACACGGAGGGAAAGGAATGTCCGGTGGACGGTGGAGAGCGGGCACACAGACACGCACAGAGAGAGAGAGAGAGGATAAGGACAAGGATACGGGGAAAACCTGGAAAACTGCTGTTGATCGATGGATGATGAGCTTTGTATGACAGACGAGATCGCAACAAGAGATCCCAATCTTTTTTCCACAGCCATTCGCACAGCCCGCTGTTTCTCTTCGCACTGCGCCTCCGCTTCCGCTCTCATTAAGTGCCGATGATGTTTGAGAGCCAACAGATACAAGGTCAGAGCAATCGCCAGTCCAGAGAGGGCGATAGCAAGAAGAAGATAGAAATTGTAAGGACCATGAAGACGACAATAACATGGAAGATCGGGATTACCACATTCGTTTCGTCGTCGCCGGAGGTCTCGTCGAACGACGAGATCGCTGCTGCCAACCTCGTGATTAGGAAGATTGGAGGACACGTGGCGCAAGCAGGGAAACCCACCACCACATCTCCCAATCCAACAAGGTAACCAAGAACGCGACATCATCAACAAACCACAACTCGGCACCGGCATTCTCCTAGTAACCCGCCCACTTCTCCTCCTCCTCCTCCTCTCCTCCTCCCCTCCTCCACCCCCTGCCCCCCCCAGGTCCTTCACTCCCCCGCTCACGCATCCATCCCCTTTACCTTGATACCCTCTCTCTCTCTCTCTCTCTCTCTCTCTCTCTCTCTCTCTCTCTCTCTCTCTCTCTCTCTCTCTCTCTCTCTCTCTACCGCAAAGTGTGCGTACACGGGAGGACAAGGATCGTATCGAGAGATTCACAACAGCCGTCGATTACTTATATTTATATTACTTAGTATTATTAGTGAAAATAAAATCGTCATCGCCCGTCTCCTGGCCGCATCTTGGATGTACCGTTCGGCGGCTGTTGATAGATATAGCCACCGCGGCAATGATGATTCACACGATGAATGGATTTGGATAAGGCTACTGTCGATTTGGATAAGGCTGAGATTAACAAGTCATGACAACAAACCGGTGCATGAATCGGCGTGTAAGTCCTCCACAAACGTGACTCTCAGAATCGGAATAGACAGCAAAAGAGGCGGCGAGAATGAGACAAAAAGAGAGAAAAGGAGAAAAAAGAGAAAGAAAAAGAGAGGAAAAAAGAGAGAAAAAGAGAGAGAAAAAGAGAGAAAAAAAGAGAGAAAAAAAGAGAGAAAAAAATAAGAGAAAAAAGAGAAAGACGGATATTCCGCTACCACTCTATAGCTCGTCGCAGCCCCCTGATTGCTCTTGTTCAGCGACCTCCTCACTCACTTTCCTTCTTCCCACCAGCCAGCCAGCGCGCGCATGAACGCTGGCCAGCAGTCTACTTACCGCGAGCGTCTTCACTCTTCTTTTCAATCTCCCGCCCATCATGACTGCCATCAGTACACTCTCTCCTTATCGATTACTACTACCCCCCATTCTCATCCCCGCCATTCTCTTCCTCTTCCTCCTTCTCCTCCTCTTCTTCCTCCTCTTCTTCCTCCTCCTCTTCTTCCTCTTCTTACTCCTCCTCCTTTCCGTTGGTTTCTACGCTTTGACACGATTCAACCCCCCTCCTCCTACCATACGCGTCTTCTGTCTTCCTCCTCCTCCTCCTCCTCCTCCTCCTCCTCCTCCTTTCCCTTTGTTTCTACGGCTTGATACGATTCAACTCCCTCCTCCCTTCCATAAACGTCTTCTTTCCTTCTTCTCCTCCTCCTCCTCCTTCTCCTCCTCCTCCTCCTCCTCCTTCTTCTTCTTCTTCTTCTTCTTCTTCTTCTTCTTCTTCTTCTTCTTCTTCTTC